CATTCATACAGCACTCTACTAGATCTATAATCAGAGCTTTATCACATCCATACAGCACTCCACTAGATCTATAATCAGAGTTTTATCACATTCATACACTGATGGGGCACATCGGAGCAGTGAGTGGTTCAGTGTCTTGCCCAGGGACACTTCATGTGACTGCTGGTGGATTCTAGTGGTTTCTTTTAGAAATACATGAGAAAATCACTTAAGTGCTTAAAACTATTGTTCCTCAAAGAAAGACTGGAAGGCATGTACATATTTTTGCTCTTCACTGTGGAACATCATAAAACAATTCAAAGGACCTTGCAGGCCAAACTGAACCTAAAAACAAGATTTGACCTTAAATAGGACGTGTGATCTTTAATCTCTCCCACTCCTCTATTAAAAGTAACCCATTATTATTCAATATCTGATATAATCACCGGGCTGAAGAGTTATTTTGAAACGTTTGGGAAGCACGACAACATTGAAATATTTTACAGATACCACCTAAGACTAAGTGGTGCAAAAAAGGGTTTTAATGTTGTTCTTGTCCAGAGTTTAGAAGCGTTTGATGTAGACATCACATAATGGAAACTTGTATTTTGCTCTGAAAGATCACACTTCTGGATCTTTGAAAGAAATAGAGACCGTGTTGTTAGGACTAAACATGAAAGAGATCTTGACTCAGCAAGCCATGAAGTCGATGCCTGGGATAATTGTATAAATTCCCTTGGCCAATGTCATTTCACAGTTTTGAGATGACACCATGAAGGCAGGAAAGTATCCTGTTTGGTATTGTCAATGCTAAAATGCTTTTAAAGTTGTTTGAGAAGGAATGACATCACCTCAGTGTTGAAAAGATTATACATTCTTACATTTCTTGGAGTGTAACATAAACCTGGAATGCAGAAATGGAGACGGAGTGACTGTTGAAACGAAGCTGACAAGACTAAACATGTTTTTTTTAGTTCATAATTTCTGCAGTACAGTTAAAGTGAAAGTAACGTTGAGGTATTTTTAATAGTAAAGCATTTAACATTTAGGACGTTCATCCTGTTTCTCCCTGCTAGGTCTGTTTGTGCTGAACCTTGTGTGTCGTGACCCAGCCCTGAGGAAGAGCGTCTTTGAGCGAGTCCGGGGTGTGTTTCCTACCGTTCTGTCTCGACAGATAGCCCAGGAAATCAATGAGGTCCTCCTGTGCTTTCATGACGAACAGGACACCGCCCACATTCTTTCATTTCTGCAACAAGCAGCCAAGAATCTACAGAGAGCACTGTTCTCTAACAAGACTGAGCCACACATTGACATTGCAGAGATGTTAAAAGACCTAAAAGTAGAGTGACATTTTGTGTGCCGTGTCAAGATTGTATGAAATGTATATGTTTTGGCTCATTTCAAATTAAAAGTAACCACCGTAAATATTTTTATGAAGTATTTTATTGGATTGATTTACAACCCCGATTCTGAAAAAGTTGCAGTGTGCAATGAAAACAGGGCAGACTGTCCCACTCCTTTTTAGAACAGAGACTGTGATGTCCATGGTTTACACAAACGGGTTTAAATTTCAAATCATCAAACTACAGAACAGGTTTCCATTACCTCAACCCATTTAAAATGAGCCTGGACCCAGAGGAAGATGCTGAGTTTTCTGGATTGTGTTCATATAAAACTTATTTACGTGATAAAGGTTTGCCCAGCATTTAATTTTACATTTTAATACCCGACGGTCTGAAGATCAGGATCCTATGGTTATTTTCAGCCTTGTCTTTTGGTCTCATATATTGCTCCAGATTATTGAATGCTTTTGATGATTGTATGAACTGTAGCAGATTTTTTTTTTTTCTGTTTAGAAACACTATCCTTAAATTGTTTTATTCTTTTTGGAGTTCTTCATAGTCTCATGAATCACTATTGACCCCAACGACCTGAATCAGGAATAAGCAGCTGATAATGGGTTCTGAACATTTGCCCTTCTTTATTTTTGATGGATTCAGCCTTTTAGAAATGCTTTTTATACCCAGTCCTCTTACTAACCTAACCTATTGCAAAATGCTGTATCTGTCTTTTGTGCCACTTTTACAGCTTTTGCTGCTCCTGTCCCAATTTAATTGAGATGTGCTGCTGCCATAAAGTCCATTCATCCATTTTTTTTTTACCCACTTCCCCTTTCTGAGTGGCAGGGAGCCAGTGCTTATCTCTAGCCGTCACTGTGAGAGGCAGGGTATACCATGGACAGGTCGTACGTCCACCCAGAAACCTTATGCCCAATGTTTCATAGTGAATAAAATGTGGGTTTATGACAATGGTGAACCATTGCATTCTGTTTTTCTGCAACTGTACACAAACTACCAACTTTTTCAAACTTTGGTTAGTACAAAAACTTGTAATAAAGCATTACATCATCTGCTTTAGTTTCTCTTTCGCTTTATGGTTTCAGTAAGTGTATGCTTCCTCACAAGCAAAGAATGTGGCTGTGTTATTTGCAGTAGGTGGCATTAAAAGTTGCTGTGTTTATAGGCCTTCAGCGGTGCCCTACCCCACGAGGGATAGATGAGATTTCAAATAGCTCAGAGCCTGTGGAGTAAGTGCAATTTAAGGATGTGCCAATTGGCTGTGAAGCTTGTCCATCTTCTAAAGGCGTGTTTGTGTGTGTGTGTGTTTGTTTATGTTACCTTGTGAGGCCCATTTTTCAACTCGTACTACAATGTGAGGACCAAAGCCCAATCCCCATAAGGTTAAAGTGTCATTGATGGGTTAGGTTTAGTTATGTACTGTTAATGGTTGGGTTTAGGGTAAGGCTATAGAAATGAAAGTCAACGCAAAGTCCCCGTAAAGATAGAAAGACACGTGTGTGTGTGTGGTAGAGGGAGAAGGGGTTTACCGATTTTCTTGTCAGAGCGCATGCGCAGAAAACTTCATTCCGTTAGCTGTCAAAGCAGAATGTTTTTCCTAAGTTCATGGGCCAAACCTGGTCCAGTCGCACGCCCTTGGACTGGTTCAGACTTTTAAAGAGGCGTTTTGCGTTTTGAACGAAGAAGAATACTTCTGGAAAGTTTTTTCTTACAAGATACGAGCTCTTCTTAAACAAGCGTGGACTCGAGACAAGATTCTCCGACTCTCTCGCAGTCGGTCACGTTGCATACCTTTTTCAAAAACCTCAACAAAGAGTTTTATCTGCGTTTTATTGAGTTTTTACCTGTGGAAAGACCATCTTTCTCGGTAACTATTAAGTATGCCGGTCACGGTCTCGAGTGGAGTGGACTAAAACAAGGAGAACGCGACGAACAAGGCGAGGCTACCTGGACAGGTAGCGGCTCTTGTTGCGATGGGCAACCGCGGGATGGAGGACCTGATCCCGCTGGTCGACCGGCTCCAGGAGGCCCTGAGCAGGGCGGGACGCTGCTGCAGCCTCCACCTGCCGCAGATCGCTGTGGTGGGGGGCCAAAGTGCGGGCAAAAGCTCTGTGCTGGAAAACTTTGTGGGCAGGTGAGCCAGCAACTCACTGCATGCTGTGAAACAACATGAAGTTATCCTGAACCATAAAGGTTCAAAGAGTTTAAGGTTTTGCAGTTTGAAATGCAGGTCTGCACTCGATGTAAACAATGCACCTTTATTTACATGTGTTCAAAAGTTCTGAGCAGAAATCTGTACATTACACCCAGATTGTCCAATTTATCAATCCCAAATTTATTTCGTAGACTGCCAATGTTGACCTCCTCTGTCGCCGGCCCTCTTCCTCATCGACAGTCATGTCAAACTGAGTCAGAGTTTGTTTATTTGTCGTGCACACCACATGTAGCACATGTGGTGTGTATGAAATTGTGTAAACAGGGTAAGTTACATTAAACAATAAAATGTAAAAGAAAAACAATAATAAGATCTAAGATATGAACTAAGAAAAACATTAACTAAAAATACACTAAGCACTAATAGCATAAAAACAATACGCCGAACAGCAGCACGAACATGAGTCTGTGTGAGCAGATGAGTACGAATGAACACAGCAGCATGAAACAGATCAGCAGCAACATGAAACAGATCAGAAGCAACATGAAACAGATCAGCAGCAACATGATGGGATTTTTTTCACAGTGATTATTCTGGTTAGAGATTCATGAGTCTAACAGCCTCAGGGTAGAAGCTGTTCCTCAGTCTATTGATTCTACACTTAATGCTCCTTAACCTCCTTCCTGAGCAAAAAGTGTGTGTGCTGGGTGAGTGGGGTCCTTCATGATGTAGGTGGCCCTCTTCCTGCATCTGGAGGTGTAAATGTCTGTGATGGTGGAGAGACTGACTCCAACAGACTTCTGTGTAGCCTTCACCACTCTCTGCAAAGCTTTTCTTTCTGCAGCTGTGCAGCCTCCATGCCACATGTTGATGCTGGAGCACAGGATGCTCTCCACTGTACATATAGCAGCCATTCACAAATTTTGCTACCAGAGTTTTCATTTAAGGACACATTACCTATCAATTGAAAAACATTGTGCTGATTTTGTTAAATTTTTTTGGACACTATTCATGACAATAATGTATAGTTTTGAGTTGTCCCTTAGAACTGGCACACTCCAGGTGGTTGATCCGCTCTGAGAAGGTGCTATTTATAAGACTGAGCTGAATACAGCACCTCAGACTGAGGAAGTCTTTCGGATGAGAGATGAAACGTTTCTACATAAAAAAAAAAAATTAAAAAAAAGTTGTTGTTTTGCTTTTGATTTGTTTTTTGAATGTCCAGAGGACCAGATTTAACTTTTTTAGATCCAGGTGAATGAGTTTTAGAATCTGCTTCACACAATTTTCAAGGCCAAAATTGACAGTTGTGAGACTTTAACTCTTTTAGCAGCGAGAACCACCTTTTAACTTGTATTAACAGGTCACTGAGTAAAGATCCATTATCTTTAACCGCTTCTTCCTTTTCGGGTCATGGAGGTCGCTGGTGCCTATATCCAGCAGTCACTGTTAAGTTGATTAATTCATTGATTAAGTTACTTAATCTTGAAAAGACTTTATAACTGTTTTTTAAAGCATTCATTTGCACATAATAAGTCGTTATTCACCTATGCAACTAAAAAGAATAATGAATGCAAAGTTTAAAATAAATTATATACAGTATATACTGTGTTCCATTCATTCTTAAACTTTTTTTATAACAAGTAAAACTTCAGAAAATACTCAGCTCTCATTGTACTAATACCACAGTCATTAAGAACAAGTAGCTTATATTCATATATAAAATAAAAGAACCAACTTGCCAAACTTCTAACCCCGACCCTGATTAAAAGCTGCCTCTTTTTGTTTCTCACAGCAGATGAATACAAGTTGGAGATAACTTGAGTTCTTTCACCTTTTCTTGCTAGCAGATTACACAAAACATGACTTATAAACTTACCCACAAAATAAAAGTTGCAGCAACTTGTAACCCCAAATATTACTGGCTGAAGTGTACAAACATTGCTCTAAGTTATTTAAAATATCTAATCAGACATTATATTATGACTACTGCTGTGATCATTTATTGTAATGATTAATGCCACTGACAAAACCTTTAAAGTTTTAATTTCTGCAATCTTCTCCAAACATCCTACTTGTTGTTTCACGGCCCAATGGGGGTCTGGGTCCAACTTTAAGGACCAGCGTTGTCACAGGAGTTCTTGAAATATTCTCCATGGCACCTTCTCTTCAAGTAGTATTTGGAGCAAAGACTACAGTCTTGCTTGAGCTCTTCATCGTTTGGTCTTTCTCTGCTTTTTAGTTTTACATCACAGTTCACCTTAGCACATTTAACTTGTAAACGTTTAATGCTAAAATTTATTTTGAGTAGTACTACCATGGATGTAGTATATAGTTACAACTTGTAATTTCTTCTTAATTACTCAGTACTTTAAATACTTGGCGTAACAGTAAGAGAAACTGCCCGAAAGTAATATATGTGGGTGCAGCGAATGAGTTTTCACATGTCAGGGCTCTAATTTTGTAATATAATTTTAAGTGTCTGTGTATTTTTAAAATACACACAGACATCTTAAGGGCTGTGCTCAGAGCTACCTCTAACCAAACAACTTTATTCATCTCACTTTGTTCAATCTTGTACATCACGATTTCCAAAGCAAGTGTCCAGGGTGTATGTGCTGGTGTGAAGAGGTGGATGCCAGACATGGTTGTGTCATCAGAGCAGCAGCTTATCTCACATGCAGGCTATGTTAAGTGTCAGGGAAGTGATTGAGATTAACATCACCCCTCAACCATAATGTAGAAGCAGGATTTTAGTCAGTTTATTACACCTAAACGACATAAATAATGTGTAGGGTTTTTTTTTCTTTCACATTCCTCTGACTTTTGATAAATGTCCTGTTCTAAAAATACAACTGATTTATGATTAAAATCACTCGTATGGACAGAAAACAACAAGGAGCTCCATGTCTTTTGCCCAGACAGGGGTTACCGGGGCCCCACCCTGGAGCCAGGCCTGGGGGAGGGTTGGTGACCAGGTCTCTACCCAGTCAGGCTCAGCAAGAAGGAGCAACATGAGAGTACCTTCCTGTGATCCCACCACCTGCAGGAGGGTCCATACGAGGCAGGTGCAGAGTGACATGGTTCATTCATTCAACCTTTATTTCTACACGTCACTCTCATTGAGCCTCGAGGACTCTTCTACAAGAGAGACCTGTTTAAAACAAAAAAACACAGATGAGGCACGCACAGCAATACACAATCATATAAAAAGCATATAAAATGAAAAGTAAATAGAAGACATTATATAACAGCGAAGCACAAACAGCTACATTATAAAATGGTGTAAAATATTCAAAACAGGAACATGTCTGCGTTGGTTTTTGTCACGAATTTAGCAGATGTTTAAAAATCCCTTAGAGGGGTCAAGGTCGAGAGCTTCAGATCTTTTTGCAAGGTGTTCCAGGAAACAGGAGCAGAGTAGGAGAAGGACCTTTTTGCCAAGTTCAGTCCGCACAGTAGCCGAAGGGGCTTTGGCGCTCTGACCCTGGTTTATCAAACCTGAAGAGAAGTCTGGGCCTCCCTGCTTAAGCTGCTGCTCTCACGACCCCACTCCAGAACAAACAGAAAATAATGGATGTTTTTTTTTTCCAGTAGAGTTTGGGATAAAGACACTATTGGCTCCCAATTTTTATTTGTATTGATATATTTTTTAACATAACTCTATTCTTTGTCTTAGCCCAGACTCTGTTATGAGACCCTCTTTGTGGTGGACTGTAGCCAGGACAGGATGTAACAAAACAAACTTCCTGAATGGGATTTTAAAAGGAAAGGGGGTGGAGGTGTGTGGTGGTGGTGTTGTTTTACATTTTGTTTCTAAGTAACACGTTCTATATCTTTGGTGTTTACATATTGCATGGTATTTTTTTTTTCCTGGGATCTGTTTTCAAGAAGTTTTAGAAACGATCTAAACTAATAATCTGCTAATTGTCAGAGTGCGTTGGAAGAAAAATGGTTTTTATTTTTCTGTTTATCAGTGTGGATTAGTTTTTTTTAATCAAAATGTTCTTATTCAACAGGGACTTCCTTCCACGGGGTTCAGGAATTGTCACGCGTACACCTTTAATCCTTCAGCTGCTAAATTCAAACTCAGGTAATAATCCATGTGGGATCTATGCTCATATCAGGTCTCTTGTAAATGAGTCTCAGGGACTCAATGGGATTAACCTGTATAAATAAAGGTTGAATGTGTTAATCTCAGGAGACTATACAGAGCTAACACTAGATGGCAGTGTGATATCTTACAAGTTACTGTGCCAGAGTTTTAATATTCTAAACTCTGACATGGTTTGAACATTTCTATAAATAAAAAAATTGAGCTACGTTGCTGCTGAGAGGACTTTAAATTAACTAAAATAATGACCTAATTTTGAACATGTCGTTGGCTCTAATGTATTTTCTTTGTCCCTTTTTCTGTGCTTCTCTTAGAGTACGGGGAATTCTTTCACTGTAAGGGAAAGAAGTTTACAGACTTTGATGAGATTCGTCAGGAAATAGAGGCAGAGACTTGCAGAATCACAGGATCAAATAAAGGCATCTGTCCTGTCCCCATCACACTAAAGATTTTCTCTCCACATGGTAACAGTGTGTGTTTGTCAAGCCTTCATCTTGTAGTTCTCTGCCTGTTAGCTTTGACTTGTGTTGATTCCTGTGCCTACAGTGCTAAACTTGACACTTGTGGACTTGCCTGGCATTACCAAGGTGCCAGTGGGCGACCAGCCTGCAGACATAGAGTACCAGATACGAGACATAATCATGCAGTATATCTGTAAGGAAAACTGTCTTATTCTGGCTGTCACACCTGCCAACACTGACCTGGCCAACTCTGATGCACTTAAACTGGCCAAAGACGTTGACCCTCAAGGTAAACTTCTGGTAATATACTTTAGCTAGACTGCACCTCTACATCTGTGTCTTCCAGCGTATAAAACTGTCTTTTATCAGCGGAGTAGTTTTTATTTCACAATAAGGAACTGTGCTGCTGTTTCTTCCCTCACACCCAGTAAGTCCACCCAGATTCTTTGGTGCACGTTCCAGTCCAACACTGAGCCCTTCCCTTTGCACTCAGACCTCTGTTTGCTTGAGAAAGTTCTCATCTTTTAGTTTTCATCTTAATTATAGTAAAATAATGTCAAATGTCCTTCTGCCAGATATTGTACAACTTAAGCAAAGTGTGATTAACTTTGTGGGGTTTTTCTGACAAATTCTCTAACATTAAAATCATCCATCCATCCATCCATCCATCCATCCATCCATCTATCCATCCATCCGTCCGTCCGTCCCTCCGTCCGTCCATCCATCCATCCATCCATCCATCCATCCATCCATCCATCCATTATCTTTACCTTTTCCCTTTTCGGGTCGCGAGGGTCACTGGTGCCCATGTCCAGCCATCACTCTGCAAGAGACGGGGGACACCCTGGACAGGTCTCTAGTCCATCACAGGGACACATAGAGACAAACGAGACAAACATTCTCTCTCTCACTCACACCTAGAGACAATTGAGTTACCAATCAGTCTAACATGCATGTTTTTGGTCTGTGGGAGGAAACCGGAGTACCCAGAGAAAACCCACGCATGCACGTAGAGAACATGCAAACTCCACCTAGAAAGGCCCTCAGCCGGGATTTGAACCGGGGCAAACTGTTCGCTGAGAGGCAGCAGCTCTACCAACTGTACCACCGTGCTGCCCTCATTAAAATCATTTTATAAAAAAAAAAAATAATTGAAGAATCATCTGATCTGATATCCGTTCATTACCTTTAACCTGTCTCTTCCTTTACGGGTTGCAGGGGATGTTGGTGCTCATATCCAGCAGTCGTTGTGCTAGAGGCGGCAGGCGGGGTACACCCTGGATATGTTGCAAGTCCATCACAGGGCCACATAGAGACAGACAAACATGACAAACAACATTCACTCTCTCAGCCACACCAGGGGACAGTTTAGAGTTCGCACTTTCTTTCTGGTCTGTGGGAACCTTGAGTAGCTGGAGAACACCCCACATACACGGAGAGAACATGCAAACTCCATCCAGAAAGGTCCCAAGGCCGCAATTCAATCTGATACTATTCTTGCTGAGAAGTGACATCTCCACTAACTGCGCCACCATGCTGCTGATATATGATTATTAACTTAATTTCAACAGAAAACTTAGAAATAGTTATGTATTTCAGTGTTTCCCCTAATGAACTTGCCATGGCGGGGTGCTCATCTCATCCCTGTTTTTTGTTGACGGGACGGACGGACACATGTCTGAGTGCGCTTGTACAACAGTTTTTGAGTGGGGGTGGGGGGTCAGCATGAGGGAAGAGGCGCCTTTAGCTTTAGCATAGTGCAACACGTTTGAGCTGTGCACTGTTTGTGCACAGTTTTTGAGTTGGGGTGTGGTCAGCGTGAGAGACGAGGCAGCATGAGCGCTGCCTTTAGCTTTTTAGCTAGAGCGCTTGTATTGTGCGCTGCTAGCTTGGCACTATATCAGTGCTGGGGTTGGGGGGCGCGTTCGGTTTGGTAGGTGGGGTGCTCAGTTCTGTTGATGAGGTGGGGCACCCCGCTTGTATTATGGTAGGGGAAACACTGTATTTAAAATCAATAAAAAGTAAATGTCCAGCATATCACCCACTGCCTTTAGTGCCAAAGTGTTAAACTAAGATCACCTCATGTTGAACAGGGATAGAGTAATCCAAGCTGTTTTCGTCAGTCATTGTAAAGGATTTTATTTATAATTGTGGTTTATGAGCTATTTTGGTATCAAGACTGACAAACGAACACACACACACATTCATGCATGGGCAAAAGCATTGTTTCCCTGCCTAACAAGTCAGAGTACTAAAACAAAACAAAACAAAAATGCTTACTTGAGATTTGGGACTTAGCAAATGATGTTATTGAGCAGCTTGATTCTAGTTCCCAGTTAATAATAAACTCAGACATAATGTGGTCACAACAAAAGGAAGTGGCAACGATTTTATTGGTCAGCCACATATCTGGCAATTAAATGATGGGGGCTTTTTGACTGGATTGTTTCACAATGTTCTTAAAGTGAACAGCAAAAAATGTGAGAGAAGCGTTTCGCAAGAAAAAAAACCTGAGTGCAACGAGGATGACTCAAACTGGAGAGGAAAAACATTTGTGCGTGAAGCAGAAAGTTTGAGTGCAGAAACCATTTTGATATGAAACAGAGCACATAGGCGTGCAATTATAGGCTTATTTGTGAGTGTAAACAACAAAAAAACATGTAAAAAGTCACTTTTTAGTAATATACTACATACACTCAAAATTACAGTGATTAGAATTTAGTTCAGTATATATTATAACAAAGTTTTTATAAAGGATGAACTGATTCTCTCACACTTCTCTTTTCATAAGGCTAATTTTCTTGTTCTTCTCTCAGGCCAGCGCACAATCGGTGTCATCACAAAGCTGGACTTGATGGATGAAGGAACTAATGCCAGGGAAATACTAGAAAACAGGTTGCTTCCCTTACGCAGAGGTGTGCTGGTTTTGTGTTTGTGTGTGTGCTAATTAATCTATCATCTTTTAAAGAGGGCTGATACAGTGACTGTCTGTTAGTACTGTCACAAACTCCTCAACCGAGCCTGAAGTTTGCTGTGCAGCAATTTAACATCAGGGGTTCTCAAACTTTTTGGGCTCAGGAGAGAAAAAATTTCAGGGACCCCCTCATGACTCTCATGTTTTTTAAATAATTTTCTTCAATTTGTCTCTTTAATGCAATAGAAATATTTATGTAGCATAAATATTTAAGACTAGGGATGCACAATATTATCGGCATGGTATCAGTATCAGCCGATATTAGCGATAAAGTTAAATGTCGGACATCAGCCATTCCATCAAAATAACTCACCGATATAAAAGGCTTCTGTTTTAAGTTAATTTTTAATTTAAGACAATGTCAAGTATATCTATTTATGCACTACTACTTATGTACTTTACACTTGTCACTTGTGAATAGGTTGAGTTTAGATTTGTGAAAATTTACAAATTTGCACTGTTCAAGTGTTGTCATTGTGTCAGAGAGAAAATGTCATGAATAAATTTGACATTAAACATAATCCAAGTTGAAGTGTTACATCATTTTCAGCCTCCTTTTTGGCATCTGCATTTGGTAGCAGGCCAAACTGACAAAGATCATGCAGAATAATGTAGTATTTTAATTCCACAGCAGAGAAAGCTGTGTAGTCTCTGTAAGTAGATCTAGGGGAAAAATGATTGGTAGTGGTCTGGGTTATCATCCAAATAAGTTTTAACATATCAGATATCGACCAAAAATCCAATATTGTGCATTCCTACTTAAGACATGTTCTTTGATAGTCCATCCATCCATCCATCATCTTTTACCCACTTCTTCTATTGTGGGTTACGGGGGTCGCCGGTGCCCATGTCCAGCAATCACTGTGTGAGGGGCAGGGACACCCTGAACAGGTAGCAAAGTCCATCACAGGGACACATAGAGACAAACGAGACAAACAAACATTCACTCTCTCACTCACACCTAAGGACAATTTAGAGTTACCAATCAGCCTAACATGCATGTTTTTGGTTGGTGGGAGGAAACCAGAGTACCTGGAGAAAACCCACGCATGCACGGAGAGAACATGCAAACTCCACCCAGAAAGGCCCCTGGACCGGGGTTTGAACTGGGGACCTGCTCGCTGAGAGGCAGCAGCTCTACCAGTTGTGCCACCGTGCTGCCCTTCTTTGATAGTGTTAATACAATTTTTATACTTTTAAACATGAAGTATTTTTCATTCAAGACACACTTAATTAACAAAATGTTTAATTTCAACTTCCAAAAATTACAGAAAATTAACAGCATCAAAAACCACTTTAAAACTTTACCTATTCACTTCATGAACTTAATAAACATATCACATCTTCAAATTATTACAGACAACTTTTTACAAAAAACTGAACAGAATCATAACAGCAGGAGTCATACCAAGGAACAGGGCTTCATTTGTAAACTGACTGATGCCAGAATGCAAATGAGGGGGGGAGGGGGGGTCTGGGGGTTCTCCACCAGAAAATTTTGAATAAAGTAGATGTGATTTCCTGCATTTGGGTGCATTTCAACGAGTTGTTAAACATAGATTTTTAAAAAAACAAAAATTATTTTTTTTGGTGGACCCCCAAGTATCAGCTCCAGGAGCCCCGGGAGTCCGGGTACCCAAGTTTGAGAACCACTGCTCTAGATGATATAACTGTTTGAATGCATTTTTAATGTTTTGTTTAAATACAAACTATAAAGGAAGAAAAGTTATTGTTGCTGACTTTTCTTTGTAAAAATGAAAATCTGACTTATGGAGGCTTATTTACACCAGACTGTCTTTTGGCTGGGAGAAGTTTGTACTTGGTATGTGCAATACATGTGTGGGAGATAGAAAGAGAGAACGAGAGAGAGAGAGTGTGTGTGTATGTGTGTGTGTGTGTGTGTGTGTGTGTGTGTGTGTGTGTGTGTGTGTGTGTGTGTGTGTGTGTGTGTGTGTGTGTGTGTGTGTGTGTGTGTGTGTGTGTGTGTGTGTGTGTGTGTGTGTGTGTGTGTGTGTACAGCCTGGAACCTCCTGGGGCTACGTACAGAATGGGTAAAGCATGTCCAGTTGCTGGGTCCTTCATGCTTCTCCTGCAGTGCAAATGCATTCGCTATGGAGGCCCACTGATAAAACTGCCTCCTGTATTAGCTCTGAGCTGAAGCATTAGATATGAAGTCTGCTGGTGTTACATTTAAGTACAGGATTTGACCCTCTGCTGTTACACAAACACTTTTTTCCTACTTGTGTGCTTCGGTCCTAATGGAACAAATGGCATTCTGGGAAGATTTCCCAAGGCCATGCCAGAAAGAAAAAAATAAAAATCTGAATCGGTCTTACACGAGAAGACTGTTACTTTCTTTTGCTTTATATTCTTAGAGCGGCTAGTAGTGATCACATGCTCTTCACTTCCATTCCACCTCTTCCTCCCCAGGTTACGTGGGTGTGGTGAACCGCAGTCAGAAGGACATTGATGGGAAAAAGGACATTAAGGCAGCTTTGGAGTCAGAGAAACAATTCTTCCTGTCTCATCCAGCCTACAGACACATGGCTCAAAACATGGGGACTCCATATTTACAAAAAATACTAAACCAGGTTACAGATGCAGACACAAAAGCTCAAATGTTAAACGTGGTCTGTGTATGTATATATTGACTATATTTTGTTTGCAGCAACTGACAAACCACATTCGAGACACACTGCCAGCCTTCTGTAGTCATCTGCAAAGCCAACTTCTGGCCTTAAATAAAGAGGCTGAAGAGTACAGACAGTTTAATCCAGACGACCCTGCACGCAGGACCAAAACCCTGCTACAGTCAGTTATTCTGCTCGTCTGGCTTCATACACAGTCCTTTTTTATGTCTTTTTCCACATCTGTGCTTCTGTCTTGCAGGTTAGTTCAACGCATGGCCGTTGACTTTGAGAAGTTACTGGAGGGTTCTGGTGACAAAGTCGACACTTTTAATCTGTCAGGAGGTGCTAGGATTAATAAAATCTTTCATGAGCGCTTCCCGTACGAACTGGTAAAGGTAGGTGTGTTTGTGTGCGAGGGCAGGAACGATTTTTGTGTTTGTCTCGGCGAATATTGTGCATGAAATGTCCAGTAGTTCATCTGTAGCTGCGATAAATGAACTGAAATGTTTGTCGTGTTTTTCTGTAACGTTTCTTAATAACTGTTTATGCCCCAAGATCGAGTCTGATGAGAGGAAGCTGCGGCAGGAAATCAACTATGCCATCAGAAACATACATGGTGTCAGGTGCAGTACACTGTTTCAAATATGAAGGGGCTTTGTTGTAATTCACACTTTTTATTAAAAATATGCTTTTTCTCAACAGGACAGGCTTGTTCACACCTGACTTGGCCTTTGAAGCCATAGTGAAGAAACAAATATCAAGTTTAAAAGCTCCATGTATTAAATTCATTGACTTGGTCAGTCAAGAGCTAATTACAACTGTGGATCAGTGTGTCAGTAAGGTATAAATGTGCATGTTTGATGTGCACGTGTTGTTTTTGTAGGGTGCAACGTGCCTGTGTGTAATTTCTGTGTTGTTGTCTTGCAGCTCAGTTCTTTTCCCAAACTGCAAAATGAAACGGAGAGGATAGTTATAAATGAAATCCAAGAGCAGAAGAGTAAATGCAGAGAGCAGGTTATTTGCATACATTTATACTGTGTAAAAATTTTTTTAAAAATCAGTAAACTCAACTGCATTACAAGGTTGTGTGATGGTCTGATTTGTTTTTAGGTCTTGTTGCTCATTGACATTCAGCTTGCCTACATAAATACCAAACATGAAGACTTCATTGGCTTTACCAAGTGAGTAACCTCACTGGTTTTAAAGTGAGATGGAAAGTGTGGTTTGTTGTCACTAAAACAATATGTGCTTTTTATGCTTCCCAGTTACCATCAGGCGCACAATCAAAATAATGCAAACAATTTAGCACAGATCCCAAGGATCGAGGTGAGTCCATTTCAGTTTTATCTCTAATCACAATATAACTACAATAAATAAATTCTGTAAACACAGAGACAAATCAGCATCATCACTTACAGAATAAAAGCATTGGATAGTCATTACTTTTAGTTGTATTCACTTCCCAGTTGTCCTGGAAACAAACAGTTGCACTTTGTGCACAATTGTGACTAAATGCTCAAATGTGATATTTACAGCAGAAAACATTTTCTTTGTGTTAAGTTTCGAAGCTGTCAGTGTATTGTGCGTTATTAATCTGATGAGTTTCATTAACTCAGCTACATTTCAGATTCTGCACAGCAGACATAATGTCTCAGTCTTGTTTTATTTTATGTGTAACACATTTATGTACAAATATGTATGTATAAAACACACTGATTGTGTACTCCGTCCGTCACCTTGATACGATGCTGATGATGTTTTGTTGAACATCAGTATACTCTGAGCACAATATATTTCTTATATATCTTTCATGTTGTTTTAATATTAGCCTATAAATAAACGATCAATATTACTGATATGCCTCATCAAATGTGAAATAAACTAACTACTAGTTAACGTTGCTACTTTACACTCGGAGTGGCTGTGGCTGAGTGGTTAGAGCAGTCGTCCTCCAATGCAAGAGTTACGGGTTTGATTCCACCAGCAGGCCAGACACTGGACCCCTCATTGCCTCCGATGTGTGTCCCATCAGTGTATGAATGTGATAAAGCTCTGATTATTCTTTGTATAGATCTAGTAGAGTGCTGTATGAATGGGTAAATGAGGCACAGATTGTGTTGTAAAGAGCTTTGAGTATCTTGATCAAATAGAAAAGTGCTATATAAGTGCAGTCCGTTTACCATTTTATCTCTTACTTTTCTCCAGGGCGTGGCCAAACTCTCCAGTCGAATAGTAGGAGACCATTTTTCAGCCTTTTTTCCTTTACTGAAAATATGTGCGTTTGAGAGCCTAGCTTAACGGCTGTTGGTTAGCATGCCACCAATGGGAGCAAAATGTCTTCTTTTCATCATCTGCGACTGATACACTGGTGTTATCACAAATACCTTTTTTTACTCTTTTCTTATTGTTTTTCTACCCTATCCTAAAAAAAATCTTATTTTTTGCTATTGTCTGGTTTTATAAATATGTACAGATGTAAAAAAACATTATTTGTTTTGTTTTTTTACCTGCAGGATGTCTATATGTTCTATTTTCTCTGACTTTACTCCTTGCATATCTTTTCTCTACAGTGCACTGGATGTCACTCTGGTCTTCTATCCTGTTTTCCCCCAAACATTACTTTTTATGTCTATGCTTACTGTGAAGTATTGGCCTATTTATCTAATGCTGGCCAATTGTTAATACGATGTTTTGATGATTTAACCTAACTTCTTCAATTTTTGTACCAATGCTAATGTTTCTCTCTCAGCTCTCATTCTTTATGTTGCTGCTGTGCAGGTTATACACAAAGGCTGGCTGACCATCAATAACATTGGCATAATGAAAGGTGGAGCCAGGGAATACTGGTTTATTCTTTCAACAGATAGCCTGTCCTGGTTCAAAGATGAGGAGGTGAGGTTCATACTTGATTTTTGTTATTCTCACTGATGAACGTAACTTGTATAATGACTGTATCTTTGATTAAATGAATGAAAATAATGAAAGCAAAACACAGCAGCCCAGACAGTTCATCAGAAGTTTATTCAAATGTATCACAGATTACAACAGCGCCTTATGTTTGCACAGAGAGTTAGAGTAGAAGGGAAATTAGGCTTACTGTTATCACAGCTTCAGCAAAGCCCCTACAGTTTTACCAAAGGGGGTGTCCGAGCTGTTCTGATGTCAGTGGGGCTGCCATCTGTCTGCCTGTCTGTGCCTGCTGTACAGGAGCAGAAGGTCTGCACAGCAAGTGTAGACAGGCAGACACACCACAACAGTCTTTTCTTGTCACTGCAGATGTCATGGGAAGAGGGAAGGACAGAGCACAGGGATAGAAATCAGGGGGATTTTCTTCAGCGTTTCCGTGTGGCTACAAACAAGTACCTGTTAACATTCAGATCTTAGTAAAACATTGAGGATGGAAAGTAGACATTTGTTATAGTGATGGTCCTGATGGAATAGGACTGTATTATTTAACAAGCTTCAAACGGAGTGGTTGATAGGAACAACAAAAACTGATAAAATGGTTCAAATGCATTGTTTTCAAGCTAAAAGTGGGTCTCCAGCTTTATAGAGATGCTGTGGTTAGTACTGAAAACACATCTTGAACCTCTTTTCTCCATCCAGCTATGTGTTGCTTTTCCCTCCTGCCACCTGGACCTGCGAGTGACTCTCCCACCACTTCCCTCATTCATTCCTCCAACACCCCCTCCTCTTTCCTTCTGCTCTCCCCTCACTCATACTCCTCCTTTTCTTCCTCTTCTGGGAGTTTAGGCATTTGGAGCGGCTCACTTTGACACAGCTGGAGCTGCCCCAAGCCAAACTAAAGACACACACACACACACACACACACTGTGGCCTGAGTTGTATTTACAATATACAGTACACATGTTCGCTCTGATGTAAACAAAGTGACATGCAAATAGCAAAGAAAAATATTCACTAAGACACACAGTGACTTTTTCAGGTAAACAGTGTGTTGCTTGAACACAGTGTTCCAGACTCAGCCCCAGGCATTCGTATTGTACACACGCAGTGCTAAAGGGCTCCTCCTGCAGGCGTCCCCTTACTATTGAAAGATCAACTCATCTGTGGTTATCACACATCTGCATGAATAAGACTAAAGCATACAGATAAATGTTTTTGACCACATGGATCCACAAAATCGCTCCGCAGGCAAATCATCAGATCTACTTAATTTAGACCCCGCTGGATGAGTCACTGGTTAATTTTTGGCCCCTTAGCTGTGTTATAGTTTATTAACTGCTTGTGTTTGGAAGGCATGAGTGCATTTTCATTCAAACGTGTCATAAGAGGAGATTAGATCTACTGTGTGCTATGCGCTCACACCCACAGGCCAATCATCTGCTTCTTCTTCTCTTACTGTTCTTGCTCTCATGGACACCACACTACCTCCACACACATCTCACACATTTCTCTTTACTTGGACTGCCATCCCCCTTTTTAATTTCTCTTTCTTCTGCCACTGTTGTCTTTAACTCCTCCTTACTCTGCCTCTCTTCGTTTGTCTCACCCTCTTTCTCTAAACCAACCCCTCCACCCCACCCCCCACTCTCCCTGTGGCTGGCAGACTCCCTGGGACTCTGCAAATTCCTGGCTGGAAAATCTGAAGCTTTGTCCAAACATTAGCGTCCAAATCTGCCCTGAGAAATCCCACATGGCTGTTCTTGTTCTGCAGACCTCCCCTTTCTGACCCCACCTTACTTCTCTGCAGTGCCTTTGCAAACACCCCATCTTCTCTCACTTACCCCCCCCCCCCCCACACACACACACACACACATGCACACATATATACACACACAAAAAAGAACCTTAATTGTCCTTCAGCCCTCATCATCCTTCTGTCAGTTGCTTCAACACAGTTGTATTTAGCCTCTATGCATGACATACTTTTTATGCATTACAGTGTTTTCTCCCTGCTTTGACATCAGACTGACAGTCTAGGATAAAGTTCAGAATTTAATCTCCACCGCTCTCTGAACAAACATACATTCCTGCACCCCTCAACTGCCAGGGCTCCACCAGGCAGCCTGACAAAAAACAGACCGCTCATGCCTATCTACACACAATCTACATTTACCGTACTCCTCTGTGTGTGTGTGTGTGAGGCCTGTTCCATATCACTAATCCATTAGTCTCTACGAAGGTGGAAGACAGCTTCAGACACAGCAGCTCTGATGTATGATAGTTCTTAGCCACAATGACACAGCTGGAATTTGGACACACATGTACATACTCACATATGCATGCATAATCTGCACGGCAGTGACGGGATATCTGTGAATGCAAGTGTTGTCAGATTGCCATATAGATTCACACACAGAAACCTAAAAGCAAGCACACAGACATTTAGCTAAGAGCAACAGTTTTTGTCAAGCTTCTCTACAAAATAAGTGAGTCAGCTAAGTTGCTAATTGATATTACAATAAGTTATACAGTCCTTAATCTAAGTTTTCCTGCTTTAAATATTCACTTACTATTCAAAAAGGCTTATTTCAGTTAAAAAATTGCTGCAAAACTGAACTGACTTAACTTGATGTTGAATAAAAATCGTTAATGCTAAATGCACATTTTAAAAACATTTGCACATTTGTAGGCAAGTAACACGAGAAAACATTAGATTCTATAATTTGCCTCAGCATAGAGTGCATGCAGGTTTTCATCTTGTCCAAAGTCCTGTGTCTTGTAAGCAGATGTTAGCGTTATAGATTGATGATGCACTTCCATGCACAGTCTAACCAATGTGCAGACTACTGTACACCAGTAAGATCCTGAACAGGTAGTCTGAACACTGGGATGACGGAGCAGGACCCTTTCTCGTTTCCTCTTCTCTCCGGCCTCGCCGTTTCTTTTTCTGGTTGCTTGCTAGCAGTCCTGACTGTGGCGGGGATGAGTTGGTAAAAGGTTTCCTCCAGTGTTTTGTCCTTTTTCTGTTATCCGGTTTCAGTGCCGGGTCGCTGGGTGAGCGGTCAGCGCACACATCAGACATCCACGCCAAAGGGTGTCCCTCCTGCAAAGGTGTTAAGGTGCCTTAGGTCAGCTGTCTGCAGGACTGCGTCCCAACTTAGGATCCAGTCTTGACGTGGCACATTCACTCATTCAGCCAGGGATCTGCCTGTTCACTTGGAGAAGGCATAAGGAAATAAGGGGAGTGTGAGAAGGAGAGAGAGTTAGGGAGGAACTTAGCAGCCATATATGGGTTGATGAAACCCATAGGGAATCAACTTTGCACTGGTCTGGAGTTTCTCTAATTTCTTCTTTCCAGTCTCTCTTGCCATCCATGTTGCTCTCTCTTTCTTTGTCTATTTTAACAAAAATCACTTCTGTCTCCTCCTCTATCATCCCCATCTCTCCTTTTCCTTTCCTTCACATCTCTACTTTTTACTTCGACCCCATCAGAATACTCTATACTCGTTTCAGTCTCCTCCCCTTCTGTCTAAAGCGATCCCAGATGTTGCTGTCTGAGCGCCAATCGGCATTCTGTCATTTTTTTTTCAGTGTCTGTTACAGGAAGTGGGCCTCTTTGGAAATAAGGAAGGGGGCAGCAAAGAAAGAAAGTCATAGGGTTCAAGGGAGCACTGACAGAGGGAAGTCCTGAATGTACCGTTATATCTCATTCCACACATGTGCACACGCTTCGTCTTTGATGCATATCTGTGCATCTTTTATTCATAGAACATCTAGGATTGTTAGAAGATCCACTTGGAACAATTCGTTCTACAGAGGTTCATATAATTCTCTCTACAACATTCATAGAAGTTTCTATAGCTCGTCTTTCTGGAAGGCCTCTTCCCAAAGGTTAGTCAGAGGGGCTGGGAAACCAAGATGAAGGGGGAGGGCTTCACTTTAGGAGAACTGTTGTGTTAGAGCTTTAGACTGAGTAATGACTTTCACATGTGGGTCCAGCTTTTCTCTCTCTTTTTTGTTCTCATTTTCTCGTTGCTTTCCTCCCTTCTTCACTTCTCTGTTGTACTCTGTTTCCATACTGTTTGGTTCTTTTCACACTGGCCTCCTTGCTCTTCCAACTGTTGTCTGTCACTCAAAAGTCTTCATGGTGATGACAGATTGAAGACTTGTGGGCATCTCTTTCTACTTTTTCCTTCTTTCTCTGTTGTTTCTCATGTACTGCTTTGTTAATGTGAGTTACAGTGACAACCACAAACGTCATCCTATATGAACTCAGATGGTCTACGGGACGGCTGTGCCTGAGTGGTTAGAGCCGTCCTCCTCCAATGCAAGAGTTGAGGGTTTGATTCCACCAGCAGTCACATGCCGAAGTGTCCCTGGGAAAGACACTGAACCCCTCATAGCCTCTGATGTGTGTCCCATCGGTGTGTGAATGTGATAAAGCACTGATCAGTCTTTGTACAGAAATAGTGCTGTATGAATGGGTAAATGAGGGCACAGATTGTAGTACAGAGTGCTTTGAGTATCTTGTTAAGCTAGAATGGCGCTAAATAAGTAGAGTACAGTCCATTTACAAGTACAGTGATCTGCATACCATGCTCTCTTAGCTTCACCCTCTAAAACTTTACTCACTAACTTTAAGTTTCTTGGCTCTTCTCATTCCTCCAGCCGAAAAAACACATACTACTCAACATTTTATCTTTGGCCACTTTGTGAACCTGCCTCAGTCTCTGTTATTTTTTGCCATCAACAATAATGTTGCCTTACTGTAAACTCATATTTTACTCTGCATGCCTCTGTCAAACTTAATCTCTCCATACTCTGTCTTTTTCAGGAGAAGGAGAAGAAGTACATGCTCCCTCTGGACAACCTAAAGCTTAGAAATGTGGAAAAGGGCTTCATGTCCAGCAAACTTGTTTTTGCTATCTTCAACACGGAGTCAAGGTTTGTGTGTACACTTTAATGTTCATTTGGTGAGTAAGTGTCTGAGTCAGAAAAGGGAGTTATGCTCTTGTCACCTGCTGGCTGAAGTCTTTTATGTGATATTTTACAAGGCTGGATGTGTCTGTGGTGGAAAGACACAGAGGAGATGTGAGTTTAGATTTAGCCTTCCTCTAACCTCTTAAATTCAACTTTGACACCTGATCTAAATGTACATTCACAGGGTACCAGAGTGTATCCCAAGTTGTTAACGGATAGGGCTGTATTTACAGAGTTTGTGTGTATGAAACAGATAAATGTAAGTGCAAAAGAAATATGAGAAACAGGGTGCTGAGGAGCTAGAGCTGACCCAAAATTGAGCAAATAGTACCAAAGCATATGGTTTTTGTTTATAATTCTGTGTGATGCCGGATTCGGACACACAAACCAGATTTGTAAGTTCATCTGTGTGTTTGTACATTTGTGTATGTGGCTTTGCAGTGAGTGTTCCTATTGACCGCAGCATACCGACGGCAGGCTCATTAAATAGCTAATCAAAGCCAGAGAGCTTGGATCAGAGATGTGGCTGCTCTTGTTTGGAAAGAATTGCTCGACTCACCACAAGAAGGATGGAGAGAGAAAGGAGAGAACTGGAAGGGTTGAGGAGTGAAAAAGCAGGAGAGAGTATCGGAGCTATTGGCCAAGAATGTGTCAAAGTCCGTCCTGTCCCCCCCCCACCCCACAGCCCTTCACCCCACCTCTCTTACTGCGCCCCCATGCTTTTTTTTCCTGTGCTTGTGTGTGTGGTGGGGGGCAGACATAGGAGTTGCTTTGTCCCTGTATGACAGTACTCAAAATCCCCAGGAAACTCTTTAAATCACAACCAGTTGTGATTCTGTAAAAATTCCTCAACATTAGTGAAAAAAACTTGTACTAAGCTGAAGGGAAGATGGAAAGAACAAACTGTGGATGTAAGAGATGAATTTTATTGTGTGTGCACTGGAGTGTACAGACGCGAGGGTCTTGGTGTAAAAAGCACTGTTGTATTGTCATGTTTGGCCTGGCTGCTTGTCCATTAGCCGCCACACCCTAATATATTAGCCTCATCCATTAAGTCTGCATCAAAAACTGAACACACATTTCTTGAAGTTTCTCTTTTCTGATGCAACTCTGGTTTGCTACAGCCTACCTAGTTTATTTAGTTGTTTCTGTTGCATCTCATACCAAAGTTTCACATATTTGAGCTTAATTGCTGCATGTTCTGAATGTGAGAAGGGAACAACCAAAAAAAAAACAGTGATTATAGAAAAATGTTTAACAGATGGGCTGCAGCCCACTGCAGACCCTTTAGTTTTGTCTTACTTTTTCATGCTTATTCCCCCAACTAAAGCATAAAGATAAATACATAAACAGAAGATGTGAGAGTATAAATATAGGTAAATGAGTTTTAATAATGAGAAGATGCAGGATGATAACAGTGAAGTTTGCAGTAAGAGACATTTGTTGTTTTAAGTAGTGTATTAAGGAAGAAACTGATCAAAGTACAGTAGTTATACTTATGCACGAATACAGTTCATTAATGTTTGTGTGAATATCCATCCATCCATTATCTTTACCCGTTTATTCCATTTTGGGTCACGGGGGTCGCTGGTGCCCATGTCCAGCAATCACTGTGCGAGGGGCGGGGTACACCCTGGACGGGTCGCAAGTCCATCACAGGGCCACATAGAGACAAACGAGACAAACAACCATTCACTCTCTCACTCACACCTAGGGACAATTTAGAGTTACCAATCAGCCTAACATGCATGTTTTTGGTCTGAGGGAGGAAACCGGAGTACCCGGAGAAAACCCATGCATGCACGGAGAGAACATGCAAACTCCACCCAGAAGGCCCCTGGACTGGGGTTTGAACCAGGGACCTGTTTGCTGAGAGGCAGCAGCTCTATCAGTTGCGCCACCGTGCTGCCCTGTTTGTGTGAATATAAATCTGCTAAATTGTAGCACTTTTTTGTTTTGTTTCATCAGTCTCTTTCAATTGCCTTAGAATCTAGCTGTTTTTTTCTTTCTTGTTACCTTTTCCTTTTAGCCATCCTATTTGTAAAAAAAAAAAAAAAAAACCCTGCAGTATGACTTTTTATAATTTTTTATTGTTGTTGCTGTTGTCCATTGTTGTCATCTTTCTTTGTTGAAATCAGGTCTCTCTTGTAAATGAGTCCTCGC